CAGCATCGTCATCACCATCGTCGTCATCATCATCAGCACCATCATCATCAGCATGACAATTCTCATCGGCATCACCATCATCATCAGCAGCATAAGCATCATCATGATCATTATCAACGTGATCAGCATCGTCATCATTATCACCACCATCATCATCATGATCAGCATGACCTGCTTCATCACCAACAGCATCAGCATCTAAGTTATCATAATCATCATCATCACACTCATCACAATCAGCACCATCATCATCATTAGCATCATCATCATCGCCAATATCAGCATCATCATCATCACCAGCATCATCATCAGCAGCATCATCATCATGACCATCAGCATCATCATCGTCATCATCAGTAGCATCACCATCATCATCGTCGTTATCAGAAAACTCATCATCATTATCAATATCATCATCATCATCATCGTCATCATCCTCATCACCATCATCATCACCCCCACCATCACCATCAACATCATCATCAGCAGCAGCATCACCACCAGCATCATCATCCGCATCATCAGCACCATCATCATTAGCGTCATCATCAGCACCGTCAGCATCATCATCATTAGCATCATCAGCAGCATCATCATCAGCATCATCATCACCATTATCATCATCACCACAAACATCCTCACCATCATCATCATCGTCACCATCATCATCATCGCCATCACCATAACCATCATCACCATCATCATCATCATTACCATCACCATCATCGGCATCATAGGCATCGCTATCATCATCATGAGCGTCTTCATGATCATCATCAGTAGCATCATCATCATCATCATCGTCATCACCATCGTCATCATCATCAACATCATAAACATCATCAGCCTCATCATCATCACCATGATCATCATCATCGGCAACACCATCATCAACAGCATCAGCATCAACGTGATCACCACCATCATTATTAGCATCACCATCATCATCATCAACATGACCTGCATCATCATCAGCAGCATCAGCATCCAAATTATCAGAATCATCATCATCAGCATCATCAGTAGCATTGTAAGCATCATCCTCGTCGTCGTCAGCATCATATTCATCATCATCCCAATCATCTTCATTATCATCAGCATTGTCACCACCATAATCACCATCATCATGAGCATCAACATCATCATCATCATCGTCATCATCATTAGCATCATCATCATCGTCGTCATCAGCAAAATAACCATCATCATCACTATCATCATCACCATCGTCATCATCCCCATCCTCATCATCATCACCCCCACCACCACCATCAACATCATCCTCATCATCAGCAGCGTCACCACCAGCATCATCAGCATCAGCATCGCCAGCGCCATCATCATTAGCATCATCATCACAATCATGATCATTTGCATCATGATCATCATCAGCAGCAACATCATCATCACAGTCATCATCACCATTATCCTCACCATCATCATGATCATCACCATCATCACCTCACCATCATCATCATCATCACCATCATCATCACCACTATCATCACCACCATCATTATCATAGGAACCGCTATCATCATCATAAGCGTCTTCATGATCATCATCAGCAGCATCATCATCACCATCGTCCGAATCAGCGTAATCATCATCATCATCAGCATACTCATCAGCATGGTCCTCATCATCGGCATCACCATGCGCCTGATTATCTGAGGATGTCTCAAGCGAAACTTTGATTATTGGAGAATCCTTTGGATTTGCATTTCTGGGGGAATCCGACGGCCCGAGAAAGTTCGGCGAACAAAAAAAAAAAAATCCGGTGGATTTTCAAAAAACCAAGGTTTCGCTTGAGACACCCTCCAAACTTTCACTTTTCCCCTATTGATTTTTGCCCGATGTTTCAAGCGAAACCTTGATTTTCAATACGGTTAAGATCAAAAACCAAGGGTTCGCCTGAGACATCTGTCAAAAAGTGATGGTGGAAGGCTACTTTTCTGAGGATGTCTCAAGCGAAACCTTGATTATTGGAGAACCCTTTGTATTTTCATTTTCTGGAGGAATCCGACGGCCCGAGAAAGTTCAGCGAAAAAAAAAAAAATCCGGTGGATTTTCAAAAAAAAAAAAAAAAAAAAAGGTTTCGCTTGAGACACCCTCCAAACTTTCACTTTTCCCCTATTGGTTTTTGCCCGATGTCTCAGTGAAAGTGAAAGTTTGGAGGGTGTCTCAAGCGAAACCTTGGTTGTTTTGACAATCCACCGGATTCTTTTTTTTTTCGCAGGACTTTCTCGGGCTTTCGGATTCCTCCAGAAAATGAAAATCCAAAGGATTCTCCAATAATCAAGGTTTCGCTTGAGACATCCTCAGAAAAGTAGCCTTCCACCATCACTTTTTGACAGATGTCTCAGCAGGCGAAACCTTGGTTTTTCACCTTGACCTTATTGAAAATCAAGGTTTCGCTTGAGAAATCGGGCAAAAACCAACAGGGGAAAAGTGAAAGTTTGGAGGGTGTCTCAAGCGAAACCTGGGTTGTTTTGACAATCCACCGGATTTTTTTTTTCGCCAGATTTTCTCGGGCCGTCGGATTTCTCCAGAAAATGAAGATCCAAAGGATTCCCCAAGAATCAAGGTTTCGCTTGAGACATCCTCAGAAAAGTAGCCTTCCATTATCACTTTTTGACAGACGTCTCAGGCGAACCCTTGGTTTTTGATCTTAACCTTATTGAAAATCAAGGTTTCGCTTGAGACATCGGGCAAAAACCAATAGGGGAAAAGTGAAAGTTTGGAGGGTGTCTCAAGCGAAACGTTTTTTTTTTTTTTTGAAAATTCACATGATTTGTTTTTTTTTCGCCGGCCTTTCTCGGGCCGTCGGATTCCTCCAGAAAGTGAAAATCCAAAGGATTTTCCAATAATCAAGGTTTCGCTTGAGACATCGGGCAAAAACCAATAGGGGAAAAGTGAAAGTTTGGAGGGTGTCTCAAGCGAAACCCTGGTTGTTTGAAAATCCACCGGATTTTTTTTTTTTCGCCAGACTTTCTCGGGCCTTCGGATTCCTCAAGAAATGAAAATCCAAAGGATTCTCCAATAATCAAGGTTTCGCTTGAGACATCCTTAGGAAGCAGCCTTCCACCATTTTTGTTTGACTGATGTCTCGGGCGAAACCTTGCTTTTAGCTTTTATCAACTTGCATGTTTCTAGTAGTTTGAGTTGACTTGTTTGATTCCTTTGGAATCTGTGTTAAAAGCTGAGAATAGTGGTTATCAAAAAACGATTAAACCGTCCAGGCCTTTATACAGGCTCCAGTCGGAGGAGGAGGAGGAGGAGGAGGAGGAGGAGGAGGAGGAGGCCTCCTCCTCCTCCCCTCTCTCCCTCCTCCTCCTCCTCGCGCACTCCCCGTCCCTCCCCGTCCTCGCGCCCTCCCGTCCTCCTCCTCCTCCTCCTCCTCCTCCTCCTCCTTCTCCTCGCGCCCTCCTCCCAGTCCTCGCTCCTCACGTCTCCCTGACGGATGGGTGCATGTGGGGGTTCGTGAGCGGCACGCCGCGGCACATTGTGTTGCTTGGCCTCGCTTGGAGCTGGTGTCCCCCCGTCGCCCCTCCTCTCGCCCCTCGCCCCTCCACGGTTGAACAATATGAAGTTGTCCGGAGGAGCTTTCGCCCCTCCACGTGTTGCCATTGGTTTTTCTTATGGTTGTTTACGGTCCGACTGCTATCAGTGTTTCGAAATGATGTTTTTGTTGCAGCGTGGGTCTTGTTTTCGGATCGGCGCTTTGCTCCCGTCCTTCAGAATGGCGCTATCGCCCCAGCGCGGGCCACTTGTTTTGTTTCCGAGTCGTGCTTCATTGTTGTTCCCCTCATATCCCCTCCGCCGTTTTCCCGTGGTCCTCCGGTTTCTCCCTCTCCGTCCACTCCACTTCCTGTTGCGTCTCGCCCCAGCGCGGGCCATTTTTCTGAATCCGAGTCTTTCTTCATCGCTGTTGCCCCCCTCATTTCCCCTCCTCCGCTTTCCCCTGCTTTCCCTTTTCCTCCCTATCCTTCTGCTTCAGTTCCTATTGCTGCTGTTCGTCCTCATCCTTTTCCTCCCGCTCATCCTTCTGCTTACCTGCCACCTCCTCCTCCTGTGCACGCAGCTCTCCCTTGTTCCGCTTGCGCATAAAACTACTTATGTGGTTTCTCTGTGGGGGTCGCCTGGCAGGTCAGTTTCTGTGGGAGTCGCAGGTCGGCTATGACACGCGTCCGCGGATACTGACAAATCAGCACCATTGGAAGGGATGAGGGAGGGGTAGGATGTCAGATGAGGCGCGAGCGCACCTGCCCTCTCGCCTCCCCCTCCTCGCCCCCGCTCCCCTCGCTCCGCCTCGCCCCCCCTCTCCTCGCCCCCCTCCCCCGCCCTCTCGCCCCCCATTTTCATGTATTGTGCCGCACGCGGCGCGAGGATTCCGAAGCTCCCGCCCCGCACGGGGACTTTGGCCCGAGGCACAGGGTCCGCGGCGTGCTTGCGCGGACGCGTACCGTCGGGGGGGGGGCATCGCGACCGGACGTTCGTCGCCATAGAGGGGCTCTGTCAAGGGAGGAGGAAGCATCCCAATCCCCAGCACTGGCCTTTACTACAAGGTCCTGGGCGGTTGCAAGACAGTCCTGCCCCGTTCGATTCCCGAACGAGACCAGTCCCAGACCCCGGGGCTTTCCCCGGGACCACCTCTCCATCCCGACTGCTTGCTTTGCCGGTCCTGGGGCCATTTGAGGGTCTGTGCTGTGGGGCGGACAGTGCGAGCACCAGTCCAGGGATCCCTATCCTCAGGGCCCGGTTGTTTTGGATGAGCGGTGCGCCGGGGGGGGGGCGCCAGGGGGGGGAACCAAGGAAGAGGCAGGCCTTCTCAAACGGCGGCGGGGCTTGAGAACCCTCAGAGAGCTTTTCAGAATGCCAGAGGCCTCCTTTGCCCTCTGAGAAGGCGGCCAACACACACCGTCTGCCTTCTGCCTTTCCCCCCTGGGGCCCGCCAGCGGCGTCCGGGAGCGTGGCGCCCCCGACCGCATTCCGTGGAGGGACGACGGCTGTGTGAGCCGAGCGCGTGCTTGCTGCGCACGATGAAACTGCTGAATCAGAAGCAGCTGTTCGAGGTGGTACGCTCCCTCTTTTTCTTCTCCCTCCCCACTTCTCCTCCCGCCTTGGAGGAGGAAAGAGAGACGGAGGGATGAGGCTGCTCCTTGTTCCCTCCTTGCTCTACCCTCGCAACTTCCTCATTCATTCCCCCTATGCCTCCCTCCCATCCCCTCTCACAACTCCCTCCCCGCTGCCCTCTCATCGCTTCAATGTCTGTCCTTTCTTCATTTTCTCCCTCCCTTCCCATCCCTCTCTGCGTCAGGCCTCCCGTGCTCCTTTCTCTGTCCTTCCACATGTTTCCTCCCTCATCTCTCCTCTCTCATTCTTCCCCCCTCTCCTCCCTGGTCTCTCGTAGCTGCCCCCCCTCCCTCCCCCCGTGCTCCCTCCATCATTTCTCGCCCTTCAGTCCTCGCCCACTCCGCCCTCCGTTCTCCTCCTCCCTCCTCGCACTTCCCCCGTTCCTGCCTTCTCCTGACATTACTCGTCGTCCTCCTCCTCGCTTTCTTCCTGTTTCCCCTGCTCCTCCTAGGCGGTGACCGAGACTTACCCAGATGTGTTGACCAAGAGCATATACCGGCCGTTGCAGGCGCCGATGGCCTCTTTCGAGAGTCGCCATGAAGGAACGGGGGTCCCGAGGAAAGCGGTGCCCTGGACCCTGGCCCTTACCCGTGCACCAGTGCTCATCCCGTCATGTTTTGGACTGTGCCGGGGGGCCGAAGACGGGAACAATTTCGGGACGTCTTTCCTCCATTACCCGCTTCCCCATGCTGCAAGAGGAAGAGGAAGAGGACCAGGGTAAGGACTTGTTGGGCCCCAGAAGCGGCAGGGCCGTGTTTGCTTCGGTTCCTTTCAGAGCTGTTGTTGTTGATTCCAGCGCAGCTTTTGTTTGGGCTCCGTCGCCGTTTGTTTCCTGGGTCCAGTTCCAATCCTGGAGCGCTTTCTCTTCCAGGAGCCATTTCCTTACCGTCTCCCATGCTCCAGAGGCATTTTGGGAGGTAAAACAGTGAACCAAAGAAAGTCCCTGACGTTTCTAGGGCCCTTTGCGGGAAGAGGAAGAGAGTCCGGACAAGGAAGAGGGAGGGCAAAGCAGAGGAAGAGGGGGAGGACGAGGGTGAGGGGCGGGGAGCATCGCGGCGTGTCGGCTCGGCCTCGCTGTCCCGAGGGTTGCCCACAGAGAGGGGCCAGCGATGCCCAGGCACCGAGGAAGAAATGGGCGGAAGGGAGTACTGTCTAATCTGTTCCGTTCCCATCCCTGCTGGGCCATGGTATAACAGCCCCACCATCCCCCCGCCCAAGTTGGGGACAGGCTCATCGAAACCCGAAGGGAGCAGCATCTACCCCCATCTAACCAACTTTAGACGCTTCGCGTAACCCCACCAGCAGTTGTCTGTCTGGGCAGTTGCTCGGAGCTTGGCGCCGCAAGGGCGACTTACGCCGCAGCTTGCACCTCCGTGCGCTAGGTGCGTCCCTGTGAATGCGGGGCATTTTGCTCCTTGCACGTGCATTGCACGCCTCGCGTGGAATTTGTCTGTTCCGCCGTCCCGGACACGCCTGTTGCCCGCTGATCTTTCTCGCACGGCCGCCGACCAAAAAAAGTAACCTCACCAGCCCTTCCAGAAACGATGCCCAGGCGAGATGCCCTGATCAGGGATGTGGAGAAGCATGCAGTGGAATGAAGGGCTGGGGGGCTGGGAAGCCGTCATATCCCAAGAGGGGGAGGATAAAAGAGGAATCGGAGGATGAGGGGCAGGAGGAGGAGGAGGAGGAGGAGGAGGAGAAGGAGGAGGAGGAGGAGGGAGAAGTGAAGGGGAAGGAAGAGCAATAGGCGGATGAGAAAAAGGAGGCGGAGGAGGAGGAGGAGGAGGGCGATCAGAAAGGCCAGAGGCCTCTTGGATGTCTCTCGGAGTCTGTTCGGATGTCTCTCGATAGCTTCTTGGATGCCTTTTGGTGCGTCTTCGGGTCTCTTGGCTGTCGCGGGGGCCTCTCGGAGTGCCGTGGGTGCCTCAATGAAACGAGCCTCTCGTGGCCTCCGGGGCCTCCTGGGACCCTCTTGGGGGACTCTTGGGCGCCTCGGAGGCCAGGGCCATCTTGGAGGAGATCGATAAAAGAAGGGGGAGGTACCAGATAGCCCCCCCCCCAAAGAAGGTCAACATGGGCCCAAAACATACCTACGGTCAATGATGTCTGCCTTCTCGCCGAGGCCGTTTCGGACGCCCAAATGGAACGCGATTCCTCTTCTCCATGTCCAGGGGGAGCGGTGGGGAGGGTAGGGGGGGTCAAGCTACCCACTCGCCCACAAGCCGTCTAGCTCACTCCCACCCGCCCTCCCAACACATGAGTAACACCCGAGCCTGAGCATGTTCAGCGGTCGTCTTTGGATGGACAGCCACTGGGAACCAAAGCCGACCCCAGGTGCGCGACGCCTGGGCGAGGGCGCGCCACGCGTGCCAGGGGCGCCACGCGCGCCAGGCACCCCTGGGGCCCAAGCGTGCCGGGCACGCCTGGTGCGCTTATGCGCCACGTGCTCCGAGTGCGCCAGGTGTGCCGCACACACCAGCCGCGCCAGGTGCGCCATGCTCGGGGCATGTGCAGAGTGCGTCAGGCGCGCTTGCGCACGTGACAGCACACATCGGGAACCATATCGGCCCCCGTCATCCTTGTCGAAAACCAATGCCCATCGTGGTGTCTGGTTTGCCTGCGCACAGCAGGCCACGCGCCACCACCCCTGTCAAAAACCATTTGACATTGATCACGGGATGGCCGCGCATGATCCAGATTTAGCCGCGAGGTGCATGTTGTATGTTTTTTGCGAGGGATGGTAGCCCTGCGCACGGCAGGGAAAAGGCTGGCACCCCCGCCGTCCCTGTCAAAAACAATACAAAGTGTTCGCGGGCCTCGCGAACAGGGCTCAAGACTTTGCCCTGAAGTGTACGTTGCATTGTTTTTTGACGGATGACTTTGGGGGGCCGCATCGGGTTGGCCGCGCATGCTCCAAATGTGGAGGCAGAGTGCTGTTAGTACGGTCTTTGACAGGGATGGTGGGGGGCGGGCCTCATGGTGTCGGCATGGTTCCTGATCGGACGCCGGCCGGGTGGGGGAGGGAGTGTATATTAATGAGGATCCGTGATGCAGTCCTCCCCGAAGGGGAAGACGGGGGTCGGAAGAGGAAACGCTCTAAGGCACCCACGCCTTAAAGGGCTGGTGTGATCATGGGGGCACATCGGCCAGTGCGGGCCAAGAAGGATGTGCCAAGGCGATGCCAGTGGGGATGTGGATCGGTGAAACGATGCTCAGAACTCAGAAGGAATCTTAGGGGGTACATCAGCCAGTGGGGCCAGGCCATGCCAGTGGGTATGGGGATCGGCGAAAAGATGCTCAGAACTCGAAGTGAAGGATGTTGATCGCCTTGAATGGGGGTCCCGAGGGAGCTGGCCCCCCATGGCTGGCGCAGTTTGTGGCCTCCCCGCGGCCTCCAAGGGGCCCAGGACTGCCCAACAACGACGCAAGATGATAAGCTGGTTCCGGGGACCGTCCTGAAGGGGTGTCCCGAGGGAAACGGGCCCCCATGGTTGGCGCCTCACCAGGGCCTCCAAGGGGCCCCGGGACTGCCCAACAGCGACGCAGGATGATACACGCCAGTCGTTGCGCTTTCTTACTTCAAGGGTCGAGCGGTTTCCACTCTTCCCTCTTCTTCAGGGGGCGGGCGGAAGCCCAATTTACCTCCATCGCCATCCCACTTCATATTTCCACCCACTTCTTCCGACCGACGGGTGATCTGGTTCTGAGAACCGTCCTTGGTTTCTGGGCCCGTTCCATCCAGGCCTTCATCCCCGTCATGCCACGAAGAAGAGGAGGATGAGCAGGAGGAGGCGGATGCGTCCACTAGCTTTGCAGGTGCCCAAGCCGTTGTTCAAGATGTCTTTGCAGGAGAAGCGGGAGATCTTCTTGGAGGCTATCCACGGCATGCTCAAGGACGTCGGCAACGGGAGGCCCCCTGCGGAGGTGGCCTACGACACGGACGCGTCGAGGCTAATTTCCTTCGGGCTGCAGCCGATGTGGGAGGTGCCATCTCCCCCTTCCGCCTTCCCCTCCCCCCCGCGCGCGTTCTGGCGAGTGCGGTGGAGCGTGGGGAGGAGGAGGCGGAGGATGAGGAGGAGGAGGAGGAGGAGGAGGAGGAGGAGAAGGGCGAGGAGGAGGAGGAGGATGGCGAGGAGGAGGAGGAGGAGAACGAGGACCAGGAGGAGGGAGGAAGAGGAGGAGGAGGAGGAGGAGGGGGGGGGCGAGGCGGGGGAGACCTCGTATATGACAGTCGCCTCAGAGCATTATTCTGTACCGAAGCCGCTGTCCTGGCCGAGGCGCTCAGAGCAGCCAGACATGTTCCCACCCAGCAGACCACGAAGAGCCGAAGTTGTACAGGGAGTTCCAATAAACTAGACGGGCATGCCCGGCTTCAATCTCGCGGACCTACTCTAAACGGTTATCTTCCCCCACCTCATCTTCCTCCTCCTCTCCCTTCTCCTCCTCCTCCTCCTCCTCCTCCTCCTCCTCCTCCTCCTCCTCCTCCTCCTCCCCCTGGCGGAGGTTGCAAAGCGATAAATTTGGAGAACTGTTTGGGGGAAGATCTGCGGGAAGATCTGGGGACAGATCTGAGGGATAAAGATCTGAGGGAGGAAGATCTGGCGGTGGAAGATCTGAGGGAGGAAGATCTGGGGAAAGATCTGGCGGAAGATCTTACGCCAGATCTTCCGCTAGATATTGAGCCAGATTTGCATTGCAGATCTTCCGCCAGATCTTCCGCTAGATTCTCCGCCAGATCTATCCTCCAGATCTTCCGCCTGATCTTCCTCCAGATCTTCCGCCAGATCTTTTGGCAGATCTTCCGCTAGATTTTCCGCGGGATCTTTCGCCAGATCTTCCACCATATCTTCCTCCAGATATTCCGCCAAATCTTTCTCCAGATCTTACGCGAGATCTTCCGTCAGATCTTCCAACATATCCTCCGCCAGATTTATCTTCCAGATTTTCCACGGGATGTTCCGCCAGATGTTCCGCTAGATTTTCCATCAGATCTTTCGCCAGATCTTACGTCAGATCTTCCGCCAGATCTTCAGGCAGATTTGCATTGCAGATCTTCCGCCAGATCTTCCGATACATTCTCCGCCAGATCTATCCTCCAGATCTTCCGCCTGACCTTCCTCCAGATCATTCGCCAGATCTTCTGGCAGATCTTCCGCCAGATTTTCTGGCAGATCTTCCGTTAGATTTTCCGCGGGATCTTTTGCCAGATCTTGCACCATATCTTCCTCCAGATAGTCCGCCAAATCTTTCTCCAGATCTGACGCGAGATCTTCCGCCAGATCTTCCGCTAGATTTTCCGCGGGATCTTCCGGCAGATCTTCCGCCAGATTTGCCTCCAGAAGTATATTCCACATCTTCCGCCAGATCTTCCGCTCGATCTTCCGCCAGTTTCATCCTCCACATCGTCCGCCAGATTTTCCGCCAGATCTTCCGCGGGATGTTCCGCCAGATTTTCTGCTAGATGTTCCATCAGATCTTTCGCCAGATCTTACGCCAGATCTTCCGCCAGGTCTTTCGCCAGATGTTCTTCCAGATCCTCCGCGAGATCTTCCACCAGATCTTCCGCTATATCTTCTCCCAGATTGATCTTCCAAATCTTTTGCGAGATCTTCCACCAGATCTTCCGCCAGATTGTCCGCCAGATCTTCTTCAAGATCTTCCGCCAGATCTTCCGACAGATCCTCCGGCAGATTTATCCTCCAGATTTTGCGCGAGATTTTCCGCCAGATTTTCCGCCAGATCTTCCGTCAGATCTTTCGCCAGATTTTCCGCCAGATCTTCCGCCAGATCTTCCTCCCTCAGATATTTCCGCAACTATTCCCGAAACATTCCTCCAGACTTCTCGCTTTGCAACCGCGTCAAGTCTTCCTTTGGACACCCCCCAGATCTCTCGACTGATGTTTCCCCGGTCTTCCTCCTGCTGTTCCAGGGTGTTCCTTGTTTTGTGTCATGCCGCGTCGCGGGTCCGTTTCTTTTTTAATTCATAGTTGTGTTGTCTGCCGTGCTTCGGGGCTGGGATCTCTACGGGACAACCTGGAACTTTAAATTCCTTATGTTTGGAATGTGCTGTTTTTGATAACACCTCTCTGTAGGTCTCCTGATCTTGGAAAGAGCGTGTTCTACCGCTGCTGGCGGAAAACCGGGGGGGGTCACTACCGGTTCGAACCCCTCCCCCCCCCCTCCCCCCCCTCCGGATAACCGGGGGGGGTCACTACCGGTTCGAACCCCTCCCCCCCCCCCCCCTGCTCATCATGAAAAGGGGGGGGGGTCACTACCGGTTCGAACCACTCCCCCCCCCCCCCCCCCTCCGGATCCGGAAAACCGGGGGGGGTCACTACCGGTTCGAACCCCCCCCCCTCGAAAACCGAGTGGGGGTGCGGACAGTGGTGGGGACGGTGTTGGTGGGGACAGTGGTGAGGGGATAGCGGGACAGTGGTGGGGACAGTGGGACAGTGGGACAGTGGTGGGGACGGTAGTGGTGGGGACAGTGGTGGGGACAATGGTGGGAACAGGGGGGGACAGTGGACAGTGGTGGTGACGGTGGTGGTGGGGACAGTGGTGTGGGGACAATGGGAATGAGGTGGAAACAGTGGGACAGTGGAGGGTACAATGGTGGTGGGGACAGTGGTGAAGGCGGTGGCGAGGACGGCGGTGGGACAATGGGACAGAGGTACAGTGGGGACAGTGGTGGGGACAGTGGGGACAGTGGTGGGAACAGTGGGACAGCTCAGTGGGACAGCGGAGGAGTCAGTGGGACAGTGGGGACAGTGGGGATAGTCGGGCAGTGGTTGGGGCCGTGGAGACAGTGGGGAGAGTGGAACCGTGGTGGGAACAGTTCTGGGGACAGCGGGGACAGTGCGACAGTGGTGGGGCCACTGGTGGGGACAGTAGGGGCGGTGGTGGAACCAGTGGGGACAGCGGTGGTGAGGACAGTGGTGCTGGGAACACCAGTGGGGGATGTGATGCGGACGGTGGTGGGGACCGGGAGTCGTTTGCTGGCGGTGAGTAGGGGGGGGGGGAGGGGGGGGGGGGGGGGGGGGGGGTTCGAACCGGTAGTGCCCCCCCCCGGGTTTCGGATCGGAGGGGGGGGGGGGGGGGGGGAGGGGTTCGAACGGGGGGGAGAGCGGGGGGGGGGGGGGGGGGGAGGGGGAGGGAAGGGGGGGTTTTGCCGGGGGAGAGGGGGGGGGGGGGGGAGGGGTTCCAGCAGGGGGGGGGCGACCCCCGGGTTCCGGAGGAAAAGGTTGGCAATTTTCCACAGTAAAGCGGCGGTGGATCACGCTCTCTCTGATCTTGGGACAAAGAATAACAAACGGTGATGCTGATTATGGTGATGATGATGATGAGGAGGAGGAGGAGGAGAAGTAAGAGGGGGGATCAGGTGCGGACCAGAAAGAAGGGGAGGAGGAGGACCAAGGTAGGCCGAAGACCCACCAACGATGTTGCAAGAAAAAAAATCCCTCCAAACTCCCGCTTTACAGGCCCCCTTGCACTGAGGGAAGTGCCCCATTGGAGGACACCCGTCTGATCATCTGGAAACACCACTCCTGGGATTTCAACGCGGCGATTCAACGCCTCTGGCAGCGTCCTGGCGATCCCGAATCGTGCCAGAACGCCGTTCTTGGGACTTCAACACCACGCATCAACGTGACCGTTGCGCCTTGGTAGTTTTACATCGTGCCATTACACAGTTCCTGGGGCGCCAGCGATACTAATCCTTAGAGCTGCTGTCAACTATTGAGACGATTGTGTGCGGCGCTAATGCGACAACAACATGTTGAAAATGAGCCGCCACCCATCCGCGGAACCTTTGCCAACTTTTAAGACGATCGTGTTCGGCGCTAATGTGAGAGGCACCTTTTGGAAAAGGAGCTCCCCTCATTCCATGAAGCCACTGCAAACTTTTGAAACGAATGTGTGCGGCGCTAAGGCGACAACCACATGTTGAACAGGAGCCACACTCCACCCGCCCTGCCCTGCGAAGTTGAAGATGCATGTGCGCGACGCTAAGGCGAGAACCACATTTCCAGCTTCAGGGTCATGCACGGTGAGGCGAAACGCCCGGCCCGCCCTACCAACACATTTCGGTGTGTGACATGGAGGACGTATCGAAGACGCCTACGGCGAATCACCGCCGCCCCCTGTCTCTTTGAAAAACGCCTCTGTAGCCAAACTTGTGGGTCAAGAGGTTGACGAATCATCTGACCAGTTTTGCCCCGAACCGCTATGGGAACCCTTCGGGGGACCTGGATCGTCTTTGGGGCCTCTTGGGGCCCTTTGGGGGGCCTCTTGGCCTGTTTGGGGGGATTTGTTTTTGGTCCGGAAAGTCATGCGACAAGACGCGGGAAGCCCCTGACAAGCGGCGCCAAGCCCCGAGAGATTTGAATTCGGTGCCTGGGCCCCTGACAGGCTCCTCCGTAGTGAGGACTGTCGTTCAGGATTTGGCAACGGCAATGGACATGAGGAGACGTCCACTCCGTGCCCAGCGGCACGGTGGCGGAATTATAAGGAAAAGAGATGGGGGGGAACGAGGGGGGTGCCGATGCCCGCGGGCAAGGAAGAGGAGGAGGAGGGCGAGAAGGAGGAGGGGGGGAAAGAGCAGCAGGAGTGGCGGGGAGGGGGGAATAGGGATCGCGGGCCAGGTGCGCGAGGACAAGGAGCAGTCGAGGCTCGTGGGCCTCGAGAGCCTCCTGGCACTGCACACCGGCAGCTGGGGCGTCGGGCTCGTGCTCGACGCGCTCGAGAACCTGCTCGACTCAGACCTCGGCGTGTACCTGAAGTTCAAGACGCTGGAGGTCTCTCGTTAGTCGTCGTGCTCATTCCCGCCTCCCTCCCTCCCTCCACTCATGCTCGAAGAAAACTCTGCGTTCTTTTCTACTCCGAAGATGGCCAGCGAGAGGCCCGCTCCGGGTATCTCTTCCACGCAGGATTTCAAAGGTTGATGTTCCCTATGCTGTTTGCTGTCTGAGCATCCTCGGCGTCTCAGAATAGTGCTCCCGCTGCAGCACTGGCCTCATTTTGGGATCGGCGCTTTGCTCCCAACATTCAGACCGGCGCTCTCGCCTCAGCGCGGGCCGTATCTGTGGATTCCCACTCCTGCTGCTGTTCCTCCTCGTCCTCTTTCTCATTTTGGCTCAGCGTTCCGTGCTTTCGCCGCCCGCCATTTCCAGCCCGTGTGGTGGACGATCATCTCACCGTATGGTTACCCCGTACGGAGCTTAGCGAGCTGGCTCATCACCACGGCCAGCCGCGACCCGGAGCTTGCGTGGCACCGCAGGCAGAGGCATCGACGTGCAGACGATGGGTTTCTTGTGCGATTCGTTCAGGCGAATGAGAGGTTGCCAGCGCATCAGTCAGTTAAGCTGGCGTTCGTGGATAGTTGGGTCTGTCAATGAGGTGTTTCAATTGGTTTTCGTTTCGCTACTCGCTTCGTGTTTCTCAACGGTTTCATGGCCAACCGAATTCAGGCAAACAAGCCGCAGCGCAAGGCAACGATGTTCTTTCGAGGCCCGTGGATCAAGCAATATGTGGGAAATCAAAACCGGCACGGGTCGCGTCGGATAACTTGTCGCTCACACTCTCCAGCTACGTCAACCACTTTCGAGGGGGAGCAGGTCGAGGGAAAAGGATCCATCAGCCAAATAACCTGTTCATCATGCTTCCGGCGCTCCCGAAGTCAGCTAGGTTTCATCATTGTTTCCCAGGGGAATTTCCAGGACATGCCCTTAAGGCAGACAGTTCATGCGATATGCGCGAGCACAGGTTTGGTATCAAAGTTTCTGTCAACCACGAGTCGTAAGAAGGCAGCAAGCGGAGATTCTGCAGTGGAGGGGGGGTGCTTCTCACGCATACTCACACCCATTCTGTTTTGCAGACCGCTCCAGGAGCAAATGGGTTGTCAGTCCACGGCCCCTGCGCGGTCACATGCCAAGCAGCATTATTTCGCTCTGGTTAACCAGGTGAAGGGGGCTGAATTGGATCCGCTTGTCGAACGAAGGGAGGTACTCTTCGCAGTTGGTGGAGAGACATACCAGGGCGCCTGCTCAGTTGCAGGCGTCGCCACCATGGCACGACATGGCACGCCAAGGCGACGATATGCCAGAAAACGATGGGCCAGGAGGCGTCGATGCTACGGCCCATGTGGGGGCTCGGGCGGTGCGCAGGCCCCAGTGAGGCTAAGGGCTGCTGCCGGCTCGCAGCCACTGGACATGCACCGCCTCAGCAGCATCGGCAGCGGGCTCAGCATCCAGAGCATCAGTTGGCACCAGCTCGGATTCCATAGTTTGCAGTTCTTCAACACCAGGTGTCGCCCGTTAGCTCTAGCCTCGTCACGCGCCAGCAGGGAACCGATTCCACCGTTGCAAGCATGTCTGCGTCATTGGTCATTGCGTCAGTTCGACGCGAGGGTGTGGCTGCTGCCATGACAAGGCCGGTTGGGGGCAAGTCGGACTCGGCCACGGCAGTTGTTGCCTCAGCGGCAGCGGCCTCGCTCGCAGCCGCGGCATCAGACAACACGATGGGTGCCCAGGGGCCCCGGGTTCCGCGGGCCCATCCAAAACAGAGGCCAGAGGCATCGCCAATTAAAAGGTCGCCGACCATAGTTCAGGAAATATGTCCCCCGCCAGCGCGGGAACGCGTCGGGCGCGGTCGCAGCGCGGGTCCGGCGCCCGAAGCCTCGAGACCGGAACCAGGGAAGCGAATGTGCCGCCCGCGCCGATCGGGTCGCACCCGCGCGCGATGGACGAGAGTGGCGCACTCTTTTTTTCCGCGCTAGGTCCGGCCTTTTAGTTTTGGCTGTCCAGGAGATTCGACCGAATGTGATCAGCAGGTCTTGGACGCAGCTCGAGGGGTATTCTCTCGCGTCAACGGCCCAGCACCTCAGCCCCCGTTCCCCCTGGAACATGAATTTAGATCACCCAATCCCGTCTAGGATATTCATTGACCGCTGTGGAGGTCATAGCGGTTGCCCGCCTTCTCTTGCATTCTATGGTTCACGCTGGCTTCGCAGGGGCCGCAGTTTTCGAGTTGAGCTGCAGAGTGCTTAGAGGCAGATCCCAGCGATATCGATCCTGGTCGCCGCAGTCTGTCCTCGGAGGTAGTGGCTTTGCTGAGGGCTGTTTCCTGGGCACACCTGTCCGCGCGTCCGTCGGCGGGGTTCCCGGCCGACAATTTCACAGTCGCCAAGGGGCGCCAGGAACGGCAAACATGCCGCATGTTCACGGATGCACTCTAGCCCTCAGGGCCCCAGGCAGGGAATTGCGCCCGAGGAGAAGCCTCTCGGGCATGTTCGCGGGAACCGCGGCAATCCCTCGACGAGCTGGCGGATGCATTAGCAGCCCGAGCTTCTTTGAGCATTGCCCCCCCTTCCCGAGTTTTGCCTCCGGGGGCTGCCGGCGCAGGGCGCCGTCGTTCCCTCTCGGGCGTGGCTGGGCGATCTGGGGCCGATTTGAGGGCGCCGTGTCCGGCCGCGCTCGAAGGGCCGATGAACGTTGCCGCGGAGGTCCCGCACTGGCCGTGCCCAACGTGGATTTCCCCTGTCGGCAAGGATCGCTCTCCCGCGGCAGGGCTCGGCAGCGCGGGCCTGGGCGCGCGGCTCAAGCGCGGGGCGACGCGCTCCACCGTGCTGTCTGCGCGCGCCACAAGGAAGGGCGCGCTTTGGACAGGTGGGTCCGCTCGTCACAGGGCGCCCTCGATCGATGTCTTCCAGCGCCCTCAGCGACGCCATCGCGCCGCTCGTACCAGGGCGCCCATCGATCGATTTCCCCCAGTGCCCTCGGCGACGCCGTCGCGAAACATGCGCGGCAGAGTCGTTCTGGCGGGCGGGCTGGGCTCAGATTTGAGGCCGCCTTGTCCCCCGCGGGCCCCGGGCAGCCCGGGGGCGCCGCGAGCGCTCGCTCTTCTCGCGCGAGTCTTTCTCTCATCTCACCTCATATATACATATGCATATATATATATATATATATACATACATCTAAATATACAAATATAAAAATATGGCGCTTGCTCTTCAAGGAGGGGCCACCGTGGCCCGAGCTTCCCCCGCCCTCCCGCTCGCGCCCCGCGCTGGCCATGCGCCGCGCGTCAAGCGCCGGCTGCAGCAGACGTCGCAGCCGCGGCAGATGCTTGATTTTAATGCGCGAGCGGCCAGTCAGCATGCGCCGCGCGCGCTGTCGCTCACGCATGAAAGCGCAACTGTTGGGCCTGTCAAATCTGGGATGACTGGGCTGGCGGGGGGGGGGCTGAGAACTTCGCGGGGCGTCTCCAGGGGCAGGCCGCGGCCCCCCCGCCCGCGTTTAGCGGGGGCCCTCCGTCGGCGAAGTCTCGCCCCCCCCCCCCCCCCCAGGAGCGCCCCCGACAGGCAGGTTTTACATCGCGCTGCGTCAACTGCAGAATGGGCCCGGCCGTCAAGAGGCCAGGCCACAACCGCGCGCAGCTAGGCCCGCGCGCCCCCCCGTCTGTTCCGCGGCCTATCCGGGGGCCGCAGTCTTCGAATCGCGGGCCCCCACTCGGGATGGCGGTCGCGCAATTTCTCGCGCCGGTGCCTCGGACATCTTCGGAGGGGCACCCCGCTCGAGGCATTGGGTCACGCCCGGTCGCCGCGCGCAGCAATGCGCGATCGGATGTTTTGCCGGTTGGCGATGGGAACGTTGCCTCGGGGCGTGTGCCGAGCCCTCGAGGCGGCGCGGCCCCGTGCCGGGCGGGTCTTCCGACGGGCGCGCCCGCGATCTGCAGCCGCGGGGTTGCGCGCGATGCCTCGGGGAAGGCGCGCGGCCAGTTGGCCCGAGTCGCGGCGCATCTTTCCGCGGTCGGTCGGTCAGCGCAGCGAGGTATCAGAGGCGAGCCGCAGAGTGGCATTTGTTCTCGTCGGGGGAGGCGTGCACGATGGGAATGGCCTCCGCCGGCAGGTTGCAAGATCGCACCGCCGCGCTGTCATCGCGCCGGCACCTCGCCGCCGAAGCGCGCAAAGAGTTTGCGCTCGAGAGACTGTTCGGGCCTACCCTTATCCAGACATGCTTGCTGCAGACAGACGTCAAGCGCAATCGTCTTGCCTGCTGCAGATGCTGCCGCCGATGCTTTTGTTCCAGCATCCAGTTTGCACTTGTCCTGAAGTCTGCGCGGCGCGTCGCCGGCCCTCGCGGCGGCCGCCGCCTTTTCGGTTCTGGATCTCGCAAGGCGCAGTCGCCGCAGTTCGCGGTTGCGTCGGGGAGGAAGCCCAGGGCGCGGTCGCGGAAGTCGCCGAGAATGCGCCACTCGCGCGGTCGACAAGAGATCGCGCCGCAGAATTTGCGCCCCCTCGCGTTTTGGCGGCGCTGGGGAAGAGGCGCGGGCAGCGCGTGGCTCCAGGTGCAGTTCGGGCACCAGGCGGGGAGCTAGCGCCCGCGGCCCAGGAGGTCTCACGACAGCTGGCGAAAGCATTTCGGGGGGGGGAGCGGCGGCGCCGACGGGGTGGCTTGCTCCGCGCCTCCCGCAGACCCTGCGCCCCCGTGCTTTAAGAGCACGTGCTCTTCATTGTTCGAGGGTCAGCCGCGCCCCTGTCGGAACCAACTCGGCGCGGGATTGGGGGGGGGGGGGCGGGGGGCGCAGCCGCGCGCGCCGGCGGGGGGTGCGCGCTCAGCTTCTTCAGCGCCGTTTTCCTATTTTGATAAATTTTGAATTTCTCTCGGGCTGGAGGGGCTAGGATGATGCCCGCGCTCGCAGGGCGTCGTCCACTCGCGAAGCGCCCGCTCGCCTGGGCGAGGCGCCCCTGTGGCTGCCCTTTCGACCGGCGTGCTTCGCAAGTGGGCCGTTGTTGCTC